TCCGCCCTCCTGCACTGCTGCCTAACGGCCTTGGTGATGTCACTCAGCCAAGGTTCTGCTCTGAGTTTTGATTTTTTTGGTTTTAACAGGCACAACATGATCCCGAGTCTTTAAGCAGACAGAGTTGAACTGGGATGTCAGCGCCTCCATGGTGGTGAGAAACACCGGGGGCTGATTGATCATTTCAGAGTTATAAACATCTGTGAAACATGCGGCATTAAAATGGTTAATGGTCAGGCTGCTACGTTCAGTAACGCACGGCTTAGGAGTTAGATGGGGGAGGGTGAACTCAAACCGGACTGGCATGTGGACTGAAAAAACATTATCACCAATTTCAAGATTACTAACAGTCACATCCCGAGTAAAAACAAGGTCCAGTGTATGTCGGCGCTGTAGTGAACTAGGCCTGAGGTCAAATCCTGACCTTAAGGACCTTATGGGACAGAAACTGTCATTTCATTGATTTGAATCCAGAAATACAGGTTGACCCATCCTGAGACTTTCTTTCTTGAATTGATCAAGTGAAAGAACACTCTCTTTTCTATTATCATTACTATTTTACAAATGTTTGATAATCAAATTGTGTTAGTTCAAACCATTTTTAAATGTTGAAGTGAACTACTCATTTAAATCAACTGTGAAACAGTAATAATGACTTTAATCCTCATTCAAACTAGAAATCAGGTTAATGATGCATTGTCTGATTTTCTGTCTTCAATGAGCAAGTTGTGTAAGTTGGTCAAAGTTCAAGTTTCGGTCAACTGCAAGTTTACTGAAAAAGAAATGTCATGTTTAACTTTTACAGGAAGATACTAGAGAATTGACTCCACGAAGTCTGAGTTCTTCATAATATCTTCTGTCTGTTCTTAAACAATCTAATCTTTTTCCTTGACTTTTTAATAACACCTTACATCACAAAAACACACCTCTGTTGGTCCATCGACCAATCAGAAAGTCCTCAAATGAACCGGAAGTGACCATTTTTAAAAGGTGCACCACTTCCTAGTTCACGGGAGTTCTGCAGTTCTGCAAGAGGTTCCAGCTCCAGTCGAGTTCTGGAGAGCTCAGTAGTTCTGAGAAGTTCTCGGCAGTTCTGGAAAGAACGCTGAGGAGGACGCTGAGAGAATGCTGTGAGTTGGTTCCAGCTCCAGTCGAGTTCCAGAGTTCAGAAGGCTGGAACTCAGGATGCTGGAGGGAGAGCAGCAGAGTCCAGAATGCTCAGGACATCTGCGACTAAGCTGAACAAGAGAAGTTCAGAGGAATTATGAAGAAGTCTGTTCTAGGACGATCTCACGACTCCTGACGTTTAGCTGTTCTTACGGAGACGCTGGAAGAGTTGAAAGGAAAGCTCTACACCAACACTGAAACTATCATCTGCAAGGTAAAGAGTCGTTCTCAACCAAAGTGTACCGTTGGGTTAAGCTGGTTCCAAAGGAGCGTGCTGTTCTGGTTAAAACAGACAAATTCCCTCACCCATCTCTCTCAAGATAAACTTCATTTTCCATCATTAAGCTCTTCTTTCTGCTAGCAAATTAATCCAGATATTTTCAGAAATGTCTGTGGTGAAGCAACGGAAAATCATGGCCGTATGGTTTTCCTGGTTGTAAAGCTGATTAATTATATTGTTATTTTCAATTTTTGCCAATTAATGTAAATGTGTGATGTGTTAAACTTGATTCTGTTAATAAATGACCACGTTCATTTTGATGGGTCAAAGATAATTAACGTCTCACGTTACATTTTTAATTATTCAATGCACGATATTATCCAGTCCAGAAAAATGAAAGAATCCGTTTAATTTATGAATATATACAGCATATGTTCATCTACAGCGCTCTTGGGTGGGACCGTTTACATGTTGCGTTAGATTAAATGAGTCCAATAAATCTAAAAGGTCCTTAACCAAGGGCTTCTCAGGACAGCACACGTGCAAATTAAAGTCTCCAATAATGAAAACATGATTATATTTTGGTGTGATTTCAGCCAAAAAGTCAGAAAACTCATTTATGAAATCCTTAGATCGAGGTGGGCGGTAGACGAGTGCAAATAACGTCGGAGGCGAATGGTCGAGTTCAAGACGCTCGGCTCAAAGCTGGCACAAAAACCTTTAACTTTTTATGCAAGCTGTATAAAATAAATGTGTCTCTACCTTAGTGGGACTTCTGACACTGAGAGGAGGAGGCCAGGGTCTCATAAGCTGGGCAGTATGAGGTGGTTGCGAGGCGCAGGCAGGTCTCCAGATGATCATCATTCATTGTGGATCTGTTTTTGGACTTGATGATTTTCATGTGTGAAAAAGCAGACTCACACAGGTAGGTAGATCCAAAAAGTGCTGTTAAGTTCAAAGCACATCTTCGGATGTTAGGATACTTTTCTTCTGACAGCAGACTCCAGAACTCTCCATCCACGCCAGGTGATGCTCTGGATTTGATCCCAATGTCATTTTGCAGACTCAACACCTCATTTTCAACACCAGAGCTGTCCAGCTGAAACACGGACACCAATTTGGACACAATGTCATCCACATCAACATTTCCAAAAGGATAACACATGTAGCTGGTAACAGGCTCGATGGAGGAAAAGTCAGTAAATCGTCTCTCAAATTCTGCTGAGATGCTCTGAACCTGCTTAGAATAGTGTGCACTGTCCAGTTGTGGGACTTCTTTCCCTTGGCGCTGTAGCTCTGCCTCCATGTGTGGGAAGTTTCGCAGGTCCCTGCGTTGCAGCCGACTTGTGAGCAGTTGCAGCCTGCCTTTGAAGGTGCTCACAGAACTGATCATGTGGATTATGTTTTTGTCCTTTCCCTGAAGCTCCAAATTCAGTTCATTGAGCAGGCTGGTGAGATCTGTGAGGAAGGCTAAATCCAAAAGCCACTGGGTGTCCTCTAGTTTTGAATGTTCACCATGATCTGACAGCTTCAGAAAATCCCTGATCTCAGGCAACAGCTCACTGAATCTGTCCAGAAATGTACCTCTGCTTAGCCACCTGACGTCCATGTGCAGCAGCAGGTCTGTGTGGTCTGCTCCTGCCTCCTCCAAGTGAGCCCGGAACAACCTCCTCTGCAGACTCCTGGCCCTTATAGAGCACACAGTTTTCATGGCAACATCCATCACTTCCTTCATGTTTAAAATCTTCCCACACAGGGCCTGTTGGTGGATGATGCAGTGATAGTGCAAAATGTCTGGGAAAGCATCATTCTGCTTGCAGAGTGCAACAAATCCACTGGTGTGACCAGTCATTGCTGGAGCGCCATCAGTTGTTATAGAAATTAGTTTAAAGAGGGGCAAGTTGCTTTTATTAACAAACTCCATAAACACATTAAAAATATCTTCTCCTCTTGTGTGTCCCTTCAAAGGCAAGATGGTGAGCAGCTCCTCTTTTGCACTCATGTCTGCAAAGGCCATTCTGATAAAAACACACAGCTGGGCTACATCCACCATGTCTGTCGACTCATCAAACTGAAGAGAGAAACACTCACATTGTTCCACGTCCTTTTTTAGCTGCTCCTCCACATCCACAGCCATTCCCTCACATCGCCGTGTCACTGTTTGTCTGGACAACTGCACGTCTTTAATAGCAGCTACGATCTCACTTTTATTATTAAAATCATGAAAAAGCGCATCTGCAGCCTCAATAAACGCTTCTTTCATAACTTGTCCATCGCTGAAAGACTTCTTATGTTGAGCCAGGATGCGGCTAACACGGTAGGAAGCTATCGTAGCAGCTTTACCTTTTGTGCTGGGGCGAGTGAAGACTGACTGCTGGGCTGCAAGCTTGTTTTTTAGCTCCCGCACTTTCTGAGTCCGTAAAGAACTTTTAAGAGGGAAATCTGTCTCAAACCGTTTGTGCATCGTCTTGAAATGCCGCTCCAAGTTACACTTTTTGGGTAAGGCAACGCTCGAATTACAGATGAGGCAAATGGACTTCGAATTAGAATAAACAAAAAAATACTCCTCCTCCCACTCTGTGTGAAAATAATAAGTTTTCGTTTGCTTGTTCGCTAGTTTTCCATCCATGTTTTCTGCGCACCGACATTAACTACTGAGCCTAAAGTCTCGTGAGAGCGCTGTGTCACCGCACACAAAACTCGCGAGACTATGTCTGTGAGAATACAAGTCAAGGCTTCGCTGGTCGCCCGCGAGCGACTGGTTGGGCACACCTGAACTATACAATATATACAAAGCTGTGTCATTCAAAAACTCTTTTACTTTATACAGTAATGCAACTGATTTTTATTCTTAAGTAATTTACATGAGATTTCCACGACAGCTTCTCATCAATAACGACACCCAAAAATTTTACTTGATTAACTCTAAGAATTTCAATACTGTCCATTTTAAACGGATCTTCGATAATTTTATTTCTATTACTAAATACACTGCCTGGCCAAAAAAAAGTCTCCACCTGGATTTAATTAAGCTAACAGGTCCGAGCCTCAGATTTCCACTTTCAAAAACATATAATGCAACTTGGAAACAGAGGGGCCTCATCTGTGAATTAGAGGAACAAAAGACTCTTACTGTTAAGTTTGTTTAGGTGTGAATTGCCAATCTACATGTGTGTGTGTGCGTCTTATCTCACTCAGCCTTATAACCTGAATCTCTCACTCTCTGCTCTTTGAATTGAGAAAGCTCCTCGGATGAGGAGAGAAACGTCTTCTGTTACAAATAAAGTCCAGTTGTTTTTGTATTGAACGCTTTTTGAATTTCATTTTGATCTTAGATTTTCTTGTAATCTTTTACAAAATACTGTGAAATACCTGATTGTACTTTATGATTTTTCAAAACAGTATTCATTACTCCCCATGTTGCTTTCTTATCACTCTTACTTTTATTTAATAAGTCACTATAATATTCCTTCCATGTGTTAAAATGGCCTGTGCTGATCTGAGGCAGTAACAAATCCCTTACTGTTACTTTTATTATAAAGTTTGAAAAACGGCTTTTTTGCAGTAATGCCACACTAAATAAAGTTCTTTTTATTTATTCTGTTGTTTTCAGAGAGTGACCTATGAGATGAAGAAGCCCATTCATGATGTAAAGACAATAGCCAATGTGGAAGGAGGTGTGGTGAAGGCTGGCAGAGAGGTGGAGTGGAAAGAGCAGATCATCGTTCCTCCCCTCCCTCAGTCCTCCCTCGCTGGCTGTGAGCTCATAAAGATTGAGTATTATGTTAAGGTAAGGTAATGGTCTCTTTGGTTTAAGAAACGTGGACCTAAAGAAGGGTTACAACAGTGTTCCACGTAACATTTGTTGGGGGTTTGCTTTTAAGGGCTGATCAGTCCCTGAACCTCACGGTCTTGTCCCAGGTTTTTGCAGATGATATGGCCCTATGGTATCTTTAAACCATGAACTTGAGAATACTCTGGGATAGTTGGCAGTCATGTGTAAAGCAGCTTGGATGAGAGTCAGCTCCTCTAAGTCTGAGACAGTGGTTCTCAACTGGAAAAAGATGGACTCCTATTTTTTTCTCTCACAAAAACAACACAAATGAGAACATCAGCTTATATAATTGCCCTGTCTTGTTCTTGTGAACCCAGGATCCTGTCTTGTAAAATGTTACGTGCAAACTGAACGTGTACACTTTTTCATTTTTTCACTTTGTAGTCATTTAAGCACTGGAGGTTAGATAGCTGGGTCAAAGCACCTCCAAATATTCCTGAACTCTTTCTATTAATTTCTAAAAATGGATGCCATCTTCTCTGTGGTCTACACTGCTCTCACCCACTTGGAGCAGCAGGACTC